CGAAACTGCTTTTACAAAAAAATTCACTGCGACCAGAGAGAACCTTCCCAGGCAACACCACTGGGTGCACTAACTCAGAATGAGTTTCTAGATGCTTGCCTAGTGGGGAGAATATGTACTCTACCCAGTGGAGCTTCTGTTGTTGTTTTTTTTTTGGGGGGGGGGGCTTATCTATGAAAAAATAATTAATTTAAAGCTGCAGATTCTTTACCTAAAACAGTATTTATTTTTGTACCCTGAGAACTCTTCTGCAAACATGACCTTTTAGAAAGCAATTTAAGTTTATTCCTGTGGAGCTTCTTGTGACTTCCCTAGGGTCAGATTTAGTACTGCCACACAGTTTTCTCATTTTAGAAGATCTTTTCCTCCTTAGAGATATTTTGACATTTTATCAGTTAAATCACTAGTTCAAGTAAATGAAGTTAAGATTGTCCTTTTTCTGGTTTTGTTATTCAGAAAAGTAGTATAAGCCGTTATCCTACGTGATAAATTGATGTACTTCACCTCTGGTTTTTATGTTGTAAATCGAGGCTGTAGGACTAGTTTTGTGTGACAGTGTTTTCACACTACAGCTTATATTGCATGGTAGTGACTCATCTCTGTGCATTTTCTCTGTTACCTTCTTGGCAAAATCTCACAAATGCACTGCTTTGTAGCCCACAGAAGTAATCCAGAGCAGTACATAGAATAGGCATGTAAAACACATGCAAAGATAGATTTATGTGCCAGCAAACTAACTGTGTGTTTCAAAACATGTCATTGTATGATTGGATGGGAAATGCTGTAGTTTGATTTTGTGGTGAAGGTTAAGATCTTTGGCACGGATGTTTTTCTGAGTAATTTGCATAGTTTAATTTTAGTGTGTTGTCGTGTTCTTCTAGACAGCCAGCCGTTTTACACCTTTTCTCCCCCAAACATACTGCCATCCTATCGGAGCTTCTGGAGTGCCAGATCCTAAAATAAAAGTGCCAAGATTTCACCCATGTGTTAGAAGCAGTTTATAGCAGATGTTGCGATTGCTTTTAGGTTTTGGGGCTTTTTTAAATAAATATTTGAAAGGTCTCGGCACCTTGGAAAACAAAGATAAGGTTATTTTGCTTTTGAGCTGAAATCAAATCACTTTTATAAGGCTTGAGAAGAAAATTGTTTTTCCATTGGTATAGAATATAGCATTTTAAGTTTAAACATGATACAGACTTGTATGCATATTTATGGAAGGTGTATACCACATGAAGTGTGAATTAATTTTAATGAATACTAAATATATTTGCTGGAATCTGAAATTGGCATCTTTAAACCATTAAAGAATCTAAAATGTTTTAGTTACAGATTTTATTTGTGCTTCACTTTCTAGCAGCCCGAAAAGGTGATGGCAAGGCAGATGGAGCTTCTCTGCACCCAGGTTGGCTATGAGAGACTGCAGCATGCTGAAAGAAGGCTGTCAGCAGGGCTTTACAGGCAGAGCTCAGAAGAACACAGCCCTAATGGCGTGACGTCGGATAACTCTGATGGACAAGGTACAGCTCTACAATGGCCTGAACCTTTAGAGGCTGTCACGAGGTGCATTTCAAAGAGAAATAACAAAAGCAACAAGATTGCTGATTCTCAATTCATATTTTATAGAGATTATATTATAGATGCTCTATCAAAATCAGTTATTAAATTGCCCCGTTGTATGAAGAATCCATCCTTAAGTTTTCCAGTTGTAAATAAATTACCTTATTCCCAATCAGTAGTTAGCAAATGTGTTTATAACATATATGAGAGGGCTTCAAAGTTTTCATGGGAAAATAGAATTAAAAAATGAACTGGAAAGTGAGATTTGGAGATGTAAATACTATAGGATCATTTCCCACCCAGAAAAACAGATTCCATGAGAGAGATTGATTGTTTTAAAAAACACCAAAACTTCATGTTTTGTTATACTTCCAAAAACAAACTTGTTTGTGAAGTTTGCAACATTTGGCTTTAAAGACAATAAATATGTCTAAAGTATTATGGCAGGGGATAGAGATTTGAAGTGCCACTGTCGGTATGGAGAAACTCAGAGATTTTGCTGTCTTTTATTCATGATCACATTGACCTGCCATTCCTATAAAAATAATTTGTGTGGTAGACACTGGAAATTACTCTCTTAAAGCTGTCAAATTTAGAAAACTTATGTGATTCATAGAAAGCTGAGTATATTTTTAGCCATTTAAAAATGATTTCATTTTTTCCTATCACATGAAGAAAAGTCCAAGCTGCTGTCATTTTCCCATCCAGCTGCTAGTGTTTTGAAGTACAGGTAGTTCCTGTGTTGCTGATGACCATCTGACTTCAACTCCCACTTGCCCTCACTTTGAAATGATCGAACCAACCCTCTCCGTGCAGCACTTTCTTCTTCACAATCGCTTTCACTTGCTGCCCATGCAGTTTTGATTTCATTGAAAAGGCTCTGAACCTTTTCTTATAAAAATGGCTGTCTAAATAAGAACTGTATGTACATGTTCTGACTCATCTACAGATTCCACTTAAGACACAAGAGCTGATTTTGTTCATAGCCTGGAGACGCTTTGTATGTTCTGTGTGGCAGGTACTGAAGATACAGCTGTGGGCAACACAAATTCCTTGTTCTCTTGATGCTTATTGGAGCTTATACAGGGAGATATAAAAGAGGGCTTCAAAAAATTAATGAAAACATTCCATTATCTTTTAATTCAATTCTTCAATGAACTATTTGAGACCCCCTCCCTTGTATGAAGGTGAGATAGTTTATTGTGCGAGCCTGGCCGATAAACACAAGTGGGATTAACTGAAGGGCAGAGAGATAAATGGCTCGGTGAACCTCGCCTTTCATGTCTCTCACTCTTTGATCATCGGGCCAGTGTGCAGCTGCCTTGCTTGTTCTGTGCCTCAATTTACAGGCTACCCTACCTGTGGGATGGCTAGCCTGTGAACTGTTGCTGTAAGTTGAGGTCCCTTTAAGACATCTCTGGAGCTGGGGACTGGCAGTTGGTGACCTGGCTGACAGTTGGTGACCTGCCTTGTGATTGGCTGCTGTGCTGAGATAGCCCAGCTCTCTCTATATATCGAGGAAGATCTGGCAGCAGACTAGACTTGAAGGACTGCTAGTGTCTCACAACTCCCTCTCACGGGAGTGAGTTGCACTGAGCCATTTGTACTGCTTTATAATTTAACTGTTCATTTCTTGTATTATATATTTATCTGTATATAATTTAACAGTTCATTTCTTGTGTTATATATCTAATTATCTTTATAAATGAATATATTAAATTATCATCAATTTGGTTTTATCTCTCGAGGGAACCCTAACACAGAAGGTTAGTTAAAAAGTAGTGCTACCGTGTCATAGAAACCTTATTAAATAAAAATCTCCATGTGAAGCTTTTTCTCAGCATGTCCTTCACCGTATATACTCATGTATAAGCTGAGTTTTTCCAGTACATTTTTTATGCAGTATTTGTGGTAAAATTAGGTGCCTCGGCTGATAGTTGGGTCGGCTTATACTCGAGTATATATGGTATACTTCTGAAGGTGTTTCCATCTTTCTGTCCCTTCCCCAAATAAGTCTTCACCCCTTGATTTTTAGCACTTAATTTAAATGACAGTTAAGGTAGCCTCATAGAACTCAAATTGTCCTTTTAAATATTATTTTTAAGTTTTGGGAATGTAAACTGGAAGGCCAAGATGAAGGCTATAAAGTGGGTGGGATACAGCTTCCCAACAAAACGGCAGGATAGCCCTTGTTAGCCTTGATGGATGATCAAGTGCATTGTTGGGATGGAAAAAAATACACAAAGAGGAGCTTCCCTGCCTGTTTTCTCATCAGTGCAGTTTTTACTTTTCTTACGTGTTTATAATAAGCTCCTGAGATTATCCTGGGTCTTTGAGAAACGCAAACGCTATCCAGATTGATACTGTTAGGTACCATTGGGTCGGTTCCGACCCACAATGACCTATGTGCAACAGAGTGAAGCACTGCCCCGTCCTGTGCCAGCCTCGCAGTTGTTCCCGTGCTTGAGCCGAGCCCACTGCTGCAGCCAGTGTGTCAGCCCGTCTCGTTGAGGCCTTCCTCTCTTTGGTGCCCTCCACTTTGCCAAGCATGCTGTCCTGGAGGGCATTCAAGATTACCCTTGGGAATCCCAAAAACTGTTGCCATAACTTTCTGAGCTGATCTCTCTGCCTTGAACTGTCCTAGCAGATCCTCTGGAAAGCACTTCTGTGGATTAGAACTTGCTCTGTGGATTGTAGTGGTAAATCCAGTGGTAAATCTGTCCCCAGTTACCGATTCATGTCATAAGACCACCTTAGCTTCCATCCTGATTAGAAAAAGGGGAAGGTGGGAAGAGAACGTGGGGAAGGGAGACAGCAGTTGGTGTAAGATAGGAAAATAATAATAATTTATCAAGGGGTGAGGAGGGGAAGAGGAAGGGTAAAAAGCTGATATCAAGGGCTCAAATAGAAAGTAAATATTGAGAAAATAATGATGGCAGCATATGTATAAATATAATTGATACAATTAATGTATGGAATGTTACAAGAGCCTCCGATAAAATGAGCTTAAAAAAAAAGTGGAAAGATCAACTCTGAGCTAGCCGGGTTTGTGCAGTAGTTTTGCCACCGACACAGCCAGACTGCTTGCTGTGGCCGAGACGGTTCGGTAAAACTGAAAGCGCCTAACCCTGTGGTCCCAGCTTTCGTAGCTGTCAGTCAGTGGTGGCTGTGAAGTCTTCTTCCACCAGTTTCTAGACTTCAGCCAGTTTGACGGTCTCCCCTCCCTTAGCTCATCTTTGACGTCTTCCCAATCTTCCTTACGCTTGTTCCATCGAAAGACTTCTGTCCCGTGGGGCAGCTTGCCCATAGACTCGTGATAAAACTTCTCAGTGATTTGGAAAGATGTCCAATTGAGTTTTGTTAAAAATTTTATTTCATCTGTGACTTCAGAATCCTTTTTTACACAGCATACAGGTATCCCCCTTTTTTTTAAGATACCTTAGCAAAACTATGACAGGTGTATTACTAAGAGATCTTGTCTGCAGACACACCCCCACCACCACCGATGAAGGGGACACAATTAAAGATGATTTCTGTGGAATAAATCTGTGTGTGTAGCAACTGGAACCCTAATTACAGATAAAAATCAAACTCACTGCCATCGACTTCTGATCCATAGCGACCCTATAGGATAGAGTAGAACAAGTGCCTCTGTGGGTCTCTGAGACTGTACCTGTTACGGGCGTAGAAAGCTAAGTCTTTCTCCCATGGAGGAGCTGGCGAGTTTGAACTGCTGACCTGTGGCTAGCAGCCCAACACAGAACCACTATGCCACCAGTGCTACTTAGCTAAATATAATATGTACTAAGTACCATATATACTTGAATATAAGCTGAGTTTTTCTGCACATTTTTAATACAGTTTTTGTGGTAAAATTAGGTGCCTTGGCAGATATTCAGGTTGGCTTATACTCCAGTATATATGGTATGTAAAATAATGCTAATTGTAGTATGTATTTTACATAGCAACAGATCAGACTACTGGAGAAGAAAATTTTTCTATTTTTAAATATTAGAGAAACTTTCCTCCAGGCGGCCTCAGACTTAGAGTTAATGAGCAATGGTGTTTATGGAAGAGTTTGTTTCATCTGTGACTCCGGGATAATCAGGGCAACAGTTTAATCGTGGTGGATGGCAGAGAATATGTATTGGTATATAAAATTTTTTTAAACATAACTACTGTTTTTCATGTATTTACTATGATTTATTTGTTTTTAAATCTATGTTTGGCATGAAGCCATCTCAGTTTAAGATTGGTGTGATGACATACTTTGCTATCACGGTTGAGGGAGGAAGAAAGTGCCTTTCAGAGGAGATACAGTCTATGCCAAAGTTGGGCAGCTCTGTGCTTTGTTCAGGCTGGGTGTCTTTTGGCAGAATTAAAAACAGGCTAGTATGACTTGCCATCTTCCTCCTAAATTATTACCTATCTTTCTTAACATTCTCCATGCCATCCTTCCTTAAGTTTGCTTTGTGGAAACTTAACCTGTTTGTTTTGGCGTTTTTTTATGTATTAAAAATAGTGTATCTTAAATATTATTTATATTTGTTTCTTTTCATTAGGAGAAAGACCCTTGAATCTCCGAATGCCTGCTATACAGAACAGACAGCCTCACCATTTTGTGGTCGATGGGGAGCTTGCGAGGCTTTACTCCAGTGAGGCAAAGTCCCACTCTTCAGGTGAGCATGTGCTAGAGACACTTGAATAAAGTAGCTGTAAGAAAGATCATGATGAGCAATGCTACTTGTGCGTTTTTCTCTCCCTGGGAATGGTGCCTTTGTATAACAAGTGTTCTTTTTGAGAGAATCCGTATGGGCAGTCCTAGATTACAAACACCTGCCTTACTTGGCCTTTAACGTTGTGTAAAGTTGCCCTCACTTTGAAATGATTGCACCAACCCCTATTCAGAACAAATTCTTCATCATAATCACCTTCACTCGCACATGCAGCTTTCAGATCATTGAAAAGCCTCCCAGCCATTTCTTGCGCTAAGGCTAATTAAGAGCCTTATGCACCTGCTTCAACTTACTACACATTCTTAAAGACAAAGGAACAGACATCTCATTGGTACCCTGAGGACTACCTGTTTTCAAAGAATGACAAGACACACTCATGAGTTTATTTGATTACCTATTATATTTATGGTGATTTTAATAGAGAATTTATGAGTGGATGACCAACCTGATTATTTGAATGACATTGTGGATCTTTCTGGCCATTCAACATGCTTATTCTCATGCCATGTAACCCTTATACACTAAAGTCTAAACTTGCCGTGTCGATGCATTTAGGGGATGGTGCTTGTTCTTCAGAAGTACATTAAACTCTGTGTGTGTGTGTGTGTGTGTGTGTGTGTGTATAAATGCAGTTTCTTATTATAGTTAAACATTTTTACCAAGTGAAGTGGGTTTTACAAAATTAATTATAAATCAGAGCCATTTGAAAGAATTCGATCTCTGGGTATTGAGTTAACATTAGGACCTTTAATTAAAGTAATTTTGTAGATGAGGAAACTTATGCTACATGATATAAATGACTCGATTTGCTAGATCCGTGGGGTAAAGAACCTTTACAATCATTACATTTAAACCTTTTGTATCTAGATAGATAGAGTGAAATATGTGTTTATTTAAAATGTTATTGAGAGGTTATGAGTCTCAGTTCATACTTCTAGCAGCAGGTGCTGAAAAGACCACAGCCCTAAATAAATATGTCTGTTTGGGCAACATGTGACAGCACATACATCTGTGGTCCCATAAGGTTTTGTCATTTTTTCTGTTTTTGGTTGTTGTTGTTTTTAAGGGAAATGTCTTTTGTTATTTCCCCTAATGGTTTTAAAGTCCCCACACCCCCAGAGGGAAGAAGCAGCAGGACTCCAGGGCACACCCCCATCCCACAGCACTGCCTCCTGGCTTCATTCTCCCACCAACAGCCCTGCAAACTTTCGCTCCTTGGGTGCTCCTGGTGACAGTTGGGCCTCAGTCCTCAGAAGCTCACAGGCTGGGTGGCAGCTGCATTTGATCAGAAATCAATGGCACCAACGGGGTGGCAGCAGCCAGAGCCAACACTGCCAGTCTTGCTCCCAGCACCCGCACACTGGTCCCCACAGTATCCTTTCTGCCCCTCCCCCACCCGGTGCACAAATCTTGGGACTGACCGCTCTGTGCCCATTGAGCCTTGTACCGGGCACCTAGTCGCCTGTGTCCAGTGCATACAGCTTGTGAACTTTGTCCCATGGACTCCCATAAGATTTTAACATAACGGGCTTTACAGAGACTTAACTACTACAGATGCGTAGGGACTACCTGTCTGCAATATGGTTTTGCACAACACCCAAATCACATAGCACCCAATTCATAGAGTGCATTGTGGAAGTTAGGTGATGTGTACATATTGATGCTGTGGCTTTTAGTGTGGCGTTACTAGTCATGAATGTTAGATGTTGAGAAATTAAAACTGTTCTAAGGATTACATCCTGGTCTTGTGTTTTCCATGGCATGAAAATGTGATCTACTTCTTTAAAGTGATTTAAACAAACACACATATATGTGCCCCTCTCCCTGCCAATTTATATCCTTTTGGAAATTTTGTCTATAAAACAAATGACACCGTTAATTGACTTTTTGTGTTCCACCATAGGGACATGCTTCATATCTCTGTTACGTAGGACTATGGTTGAACTAGGATTTATGTAAAACAGAGCGAAAGAATTCCTGAGAAGCTTTTCTTTTTCTTTTTAATTAAATAGAAGTTCATACAAGTTGTCTATGACACAAAGGAGCCCTGGTGGCATAGTGGTTTACATGCTGGGCTGTTCACCACAAGGTCAGTGGTTCAAACCTGCCAGCTGCTACATGGGAGAAAGATGAGGCTTTCTACTCCTGTGAAGATTTTCTGTCTTGGAAACCCACAGGAGCAATTTTGCCCTGCCCTAGAGAGTCCGGCTGAGTCAGAATCAATGTGATGGCAGTGAGTGTGTTTTAGGTTTGGAATAGAGCACAAACTTCTGTCCACAACTGAACAGTAATACTTAACTAAGAGACCCTTACTGAGTTACTTAACTCCCCTGACCCTCGTTTGCTTCCTTCCTAAAGTATAAATAACAATACCTAATCTCACAGGGCAGGAGTTTATGAGGACTACATAAGGTTGTCTATATGTGATAGATACCTGCCTGGTAGGAATTTAATGTTAGCTGGTATTTTTATTGCTCTTTTTATGTGGAACTTAAATCCCTTTCTGTTAACAAATGGCAGGTTCATAAATTGAGCTGCATAATTTAAATAAGGAGCCCTCGTGGTCCAGTGTACGTGTTCCACTGCTAACAGAACGGTTGGCAGTTCAAACCTACCAGCTGCTTTGGGAGAAATGTGTGGCAGTCTGCTTCTGTAGAGATGACAGTCTGAGAACCCTACTGGGCAGTTCTGCAGTCCTACAGCTGAGGGCCGCTGTGAGTAGGAAACTGCTCATCAGCGGTGGATTTGGGCTTTTTTCGCCTTTACTTTTTAATAAGCTACTGCTTTACTTTCTAGACTCTTTTCAAGGTGTGTGTGTGTGTGTGTGTGTGTTCCTGTGTGTTCCCGTGTGTTCCCCAGTTCCCAGCGCCAGTATTTGACATAGAGATTCCATTTTCATGTGTGAAGGTGAAATTACACGTGACTCCCTGGAATGATTCCATACCGAATTTGAGTTTTCAGATGCCCTATTTCTCACACTTTAATATTTATGCTTTTCAAAAATAGTTCCATATTTGGAGAACAAAGCTGTTTTACTGTCTCGTTTAATCATCGACAGTCGTGTTTTAACCAACCACTCTTAGGTATTTTATTTATGGTGCTGGACCAGGCTTTAGATAAAAACTATGTTCTCATAATTTCATTTGCCTCTCCTGTCACCCTATGTCGATAGCTATATTCCTATCTTATAATTGAAGCCACGGAGTCTTAGGGAAGCATGTAACTTGCCCAGAGATGTGTATGAGGGATCTTCAAAAAGTTCGTGGGAAATTCCCATTAACTTTTCATTCCATTCTTCCAAGAACTCTTTGAAGCCCCTACTATACCTATTAATTTGGCAGACCTTGACACTTTTAACCCAGATTCCAAGTGTTTTAAACACAGCTCTATGAAAAGCATTTAACATACTCTTACAGAATCATGAAAATTCGGCATTATTTGCTGTGGAGTTTGGTTTTTGTTGTACGGACGTGTTTGTTTTCTTTGGTCCATTTATTTAAAATGTCAACAAACTTTGTTTCCCTTTTTATTCAGAGAGCCTTGGGATTTTAAAAGACTACCCTCACTCAGCGTTTACCGTAGAGAAGAAAGTCATCAAAGCAGAGCCTGAAGATTCAAGATAGCTGTGGAAATGGCATCAGATTTAAGGATAATGTTCCATCATAGAAACAAGCCTTAATAACCAATGTTGCCTCATTCAGCTCAAACAGATCTCATAGCCAAAGCAGAAGGACTGGTCCAGTAGTCTGTGGAAGCCAGGAAGACGGAACAGCAGCCACAAGAGAAAATCGAGTCTTGCAGTCTATAACAGAAATATCGATCCATTCACATTCCCTGTCAGTTGTCCTGTGTAAGGCTTACAAATTAATATTGTAAGCACTCATTATTTAAGAATGTGCAATGTATCTGTGTAATTTATAAAAGTGAAATCTCGATGTTGAGACCTGTTTGGTCCAATATATGTGGATGCAGTTTATTTTACTTGAACTTATGTCGTCTGTTTTAAGTGTATTTAGCGTAAATACTATTATTATAAGTCACAGTGTAGAATCTTTGCAATCAGAAAGCAGAAAGTTTAAGTGATGTGGTTATTGGCAAGGTTGCAATAGCTTTGGAAAAATCGAAGGCAAATGACTCAATTTAACCAAGGGAAAATTTTAGGGATTTAATATCTGATAAAACCAATTCTGTTTAACAGAAGCTTGTGTCACCTTTATTCCGATAGTGTCATTTTTTATTGGTTTAGTCGATACGTATTTACACAGTAAACTGGAAGAGAGCTAAGAAGATGAGCCGTGTAGTGGAGAGGACTGCTTACTTGGTTGGCCCAGATTGCATGATCGTGTAGCCACTTACGACATAGCAAGAATAAAAAAACGTTAAGTGAACAGAGAAAGTGAAACGGGTGGACTGAAGTGTCAAAAACCTTTGCTCAAATACTGAATTTCAGAATGTGTTAAGTAGACAAAGACTTAAGTAGGTTAGCCCTAAGTGTGATAAGGATGGTGACTAAACAAAGGCTGTACTGGAGTTAAGTATCGATTTTTGTGGAATTCTCCCAGGAGGCAGAGACGTGATGACCCTCACTGGGAAATGTCTTCCCACCCAAACCATTAGCAAGTGTGACCAATCACTGCATCCACATCGGCTGCCATGTTTGATGGATGTTTCGTTGACACCTGTAGTCATTATTTATTTTACCATTCATTTTTGTTACTTTTCAGATTTATGAATGCAGTTTTTCTTAAAATTTCATTTTAACTTGAAAGGATTTGTTTTTAATTCCCACTCTGTGTTAATGATGTACTTGCTTACATATAAATGAGAGTTTCACATTGAGATCCATAATAGTCAACATGGAAATCGGACTTCGGTTGGTTTGAGAAGAGATTTGGCGGCACTGCCTACTTGGCTACAGAGGCTTCTCATCCTGGGTACTGCTGACAGGCGCGTGTTGATTTGAACGTGTGTCTCGTGTCTCGTTGCCTTTCTCTTCAGTTCAGCTCTAGGACAGAGCGATGTAGCATATATCAGCTCATAATGTTACTTGCCATTGGCAGCTGAATGTTAGATGAAATGTCTGCACTGTAGTCTCTAATCACTGTCATGTAATTGCTTTTTCATTTTGATTTTTAGAATAGCTTTACAATAGAAACACCAGTAGACAACTTTGATACTGTTTAAAGGCTTTTCCCCTTCTAAATGTTTTCATTGTACCATAGTGTTTGCCACTCAAGAGATTTTTTATAGACGTTGCAACTTTGTTGCTAGTTTGAGGTTGACTATTGTGGTTGTACAGTTCACTGTGTGTAGAAGTAGTATGAGTACGAGTTAAATAGAATGTTCAGTTTTTTAATATTAGCCATAGCACTGGTTAGTATCTAAGTAGTTTCATGAAACGTTTCCTGTATTCTAATCTATTTTGAGAAATTTTGTGGGTTTTTTTTAATGTGTCATAAAGTTCAAGTTTGTAGATTTTAATAAGCAACACTTTTTAAAGATGCATTCGTCCTCCAACTTTTTGTTTATCAGTCTTTTGTGGCCCCATAAATTGCATCGATAAGTCCATAAATAAGTTTCCTTAAGTATCCTATTTTTCTGGTCTTTCAAAGTTAGTGATAAGGGGGAAGCACAAGAATAATTTCAGTAGAATACAGTTTTTATTTTGTAAACACTAATGTATTAAACTTGCTATACATTAAAGCAAATAATATATATTTTTATTTGAATTGTATATATGAATCGGATGTTATAACTAGTTGGTTTTCCATTGTGTTAGACATGTTCTCACTGAACAAGGTCAATTGGTTACCTCAGTATTACAGCCAATATAGTCCAAGGGACCACTTCTCCCCACATCTGTGTTACATAGTTTATTATGTGCAGTCCGTGTTTCTGTGACAATTGAAGCTGTTGGTGAGGTGGGAATGAGTACACTTGCTTCCTGTGGCAATAAAGATTCTCTGTGCCTCACACACTTAACGTTCATAGCACTTTCTGCCTAGCACTTCCCACTCTTGGAATATCAGCCTACTCTGCCTGACCTCTCTGGCTGTTCCAGTGGGGTGTGGGTGTTCAGATCTCAGGAGTGTATGTCTTAAATTGTGACTAGGTATTATTGCCAGTTACCTTCATTTCTAAAAAGCCATATGGCAAATAGGTACTCAGTTGACCTAGTTTGGGGTGTTAGAGAGAGATTGTTTTCTATTGTGAAACAGTCCTTACTAAACTTAAGAAAGTTTGTAAGGATGCATTTTTAAATCTCCCACCACTTTTAGCCCTCATGGATTATGCATTGGGTTGCTAGCTGTTGTAAGATCAGCGTTTCAAACCCACCAGCTGCACTGTGAAACAAAGACGAGGCTCTCTGCTCTGGTGAAGAGTTAGCATCAAAAACCACTAGGTGGGAGCCAAGAAGATGAGGCTCTCTGCTCTGGTGAAGAGTTAGCATCAAAACCACTAGGTGGGAATCAACTCGGCAGTGAGTTTGGTTCCTGTCATGGCCAGACATCAATAAATAAAAGCAGGAACCTTAGGATTTAACATTTATAATACAGAAATATTTGTGAAGTGCTAATATGATTTGGACTCCATATTACAGGTACATTATTAAGCTAGTCTGTGGTAAAGAAGAGAGTCCTGATGGCATAGTGGTTACACTTTGAGCAGCTAAACACAAGGTCAGCTGTTCAAAACCAGCAGCTCTTCGGGAGAAAGGGGAGGCTTTCAACACCTATAAAGAGTTACAGTCTCTGAAAGCCACAGAAAGTTCTAACCTGTCCTGCAGGGTCTCTGAGTCAGAATCGACTGTATGGCAGAGTGAGAGAGAAGTAAAGAACATGATCTTAAGTGAGGAATCCGGTAAATTGGTATTTAATGAGCTCCTTTGTGTTCCGGTAGGTGTGAAGGTCCACAGAAGAAATATGTGAGCCTCCCCCCTTAGATGCCCAGTGCCTCGTGGGAGAGAACAAGAACCACCACTCAGAGAGTTTAGTGTGTTCAGACCAGAGGTGATAAAGGAGCTAGCATTTCAGGTCATTCTGTGAGATTTGATAGAATGCCATCAAATATAAGTGCGTTTCACTGAGACATGTAAACGCAGTTTTACTTTAAAGCTGAATGTCCACTATAGATCTGTTTATTGGGATAATCTTCAGACATTCGCATCGACTCTGTCAAAGGTCGGAGGGAGTGGGGTGGGTATTTCCCTTTTTGATAATAAACTGTAAAAAGTTTTTAGATTCAGTGATTATAAGGATATTAGCCCCTGTGTACCTTTACAATTTGAGTTGATAAGGATTTCAATCCAAACAAGAATGCCGGGGATTAACTGCTCACTCCACCTATCACATGGTCTGGTAGCTTGGGTACTCAGATGGCTAAGTAATGAATGATGGTGGCACCCAGCAACACCACCAGTTTTGCTTGTGAATTCGTCTGCATGTAATGCAAAGGAAAAGCCACCAAAGGATTAGCCCAGGGAATTCAAGAGTTCTATTTCTTCTGGGAAATGAATTTAGGAATAGCAGATGCTAGACTTGAACAAACATTGGATGGTTTTAAGACCTTAATGCACACAGCCAAATATGGTAGCTGTTGTTTTAACAACTAAACCCCCCACCCCCACCACCTATTGTCCAGCCAAGCTTGGGTGCTGGTTCAGGGGATCCAAGCTTGTTTATTTGTTCTCTTTGGGTGTCCTCAGAACTCCGATTCTCAAGTGAGTCTCCAAAGTTAACAGAGGAACAATCCAGTGTCTGCCCATTTATTTTTATTATAAAGATTGTTTCATTGCAAAACCTTGCAGTTGACCACTTGGTACCCCTATAAGAGGATTTTCAGTTCACATAGAAATGATCAAAAACTAAATATGCAGAGGAGATTATTTCTCACTTTCTGAGAATACAGCCCTTGAAGTTTTAATACTTCTTTGCCTTTTTTTGACCTATAAGAATTTAAAATTCAAAAAACTTCACTCTGATGCTGTTTTCATCTTCGTGTGCCTCCCCAAACAAAAGACTAATCAGAAGTTTATTTTTTAAATTCATCGCCAATTAAAGTTATAATTCCAATTTTTAGTTGTTTTTAACGTTTTAGGAGGCATGGTATTACAGAGGGTTACTGGTCGGGCTGCTAACTACAAGGGTCAGCAGTTTGAAACTACCAGCCGATCCTCAGGAGAAAGACGAGGCTTTCTACTCCCGTAAAGATTTAGTCACAGAAACCCACAGGGGCAGTTCTACACTAGGTCACTATGCATTGTAATAATTGACTCGATGCCACTTAAGGGTTTTTTAAACATAAATTAAAAAAAAAAACAAAAAAACTTTTCAGTTTACAAATCTCCGTCTAGCAATCCCTCTAGGGGTTACTTGGTCCTGTCAAGTAAGCTGACCACTCGCACCCCCCAGCCACGGCCGCCTCAGGCTCACTGTGCGTTGGAATGGACTCAGTGACGTGCGTTTCTGGATTCAGATGAATAATAATTGGCTCCATTTACAAAATTGGCTAATTATGCTCCTTTCATGTTTTTTCCTGTCTCGGGCCACACAACCTTTAATATTAAAACAACATCCTATTGAATCTTCTGACATTGTCTCACTTCTTGGTCATAACTTCTAAAGATGTTTTCCTGATAACTAAGTGACTTGCTTTCCAAGTATCGTTCTAGTAATGTTAAAGGGCTACTCAGTAACCAGATTATCTTCATGTAAATTTTTATGACAGTTTTTGTAGCAATTGGTTGATGCTCTCAGCAAGAAAGATTGCAAATGAATTACATAAAAATGCTAATCTTATTTGTCCTTTATTTCAGCATCCGTAAGGTTTACTTATGGCCCTGTATAGTCTCAATTATCTGGTTGTAGTTAATTCAATGAGAGGTGTCTCCCCTAGTTTCTGTTGGCTTTACATTTAATGCACTTGATCATCAAGTTACCTTCACTAAGCAATTCAGTAAGATGTTTTAGGAATCCCTGGGTGGTGCAAAATAGTTAACATATCTGGCTGCTAACCAGAAGGTTAGAGGTTTGCGTCCCCGCCAGAGATGCTTCAGAAGAAAGACCTGAGAAATCTAGTTCAAAAAAGTCAACCACAGGAAACTGCCGGACAGTTCTCTGACACAGGCTTTCCAGGGGTTAGAACAGACTTGATGGAAACTGGTTAGGAGATATTTTAAAACAGTTCTATGCCAGCTGCTTTACATTGGTGGTAATTTGCCTAAGTAAAAGTCTTCTGTAGTTAAAAGTTCTGAACTTTAATTTTTTTTTTTAGCTTACTGTCTACGTTTCCCATTGTAGTCTCAGGAGAACCAACTTCTTCAGAATCTCAGAAATATAACGAGCTGAATGCTGCTCCCCAAAACAACATTGTGTGCAAAATGCAAATTCAGGCATAACACTGGTTTTAGATAGTAGTGTGGCATGTATTGTCAAAATCATGAACCCAAGAAAGTTTTTCACCGCCTCAGAATGGTGAACTTTGTGAATTCCCTAGTCAAACAATTTGGTTATCAACTCAGACTCCCTTTGCTGTGCCCCAGTGACAGAGTATGTTCGATTGTGCTTCCTTATTTACACATTCTGAAACCTTATGAGTCATTCTTGCATTAAAAGTTTATAACTCATAAATTTTTGTTTAAAGTGCCATGTTCAACACCCACACACAATCCTAAGCAAGCAGGACCATTCTCATAACTATCACAAACACCCTGTGCTGATAGGTCACTTAGGCTCCGGTATGTAGGCAGATCTTTAGTGCATACGTAGGTGGAATCTTACCAGTAACTGACAGTGGAGGCATCTTCTCGTTTATGAAGAGTAGCTACCATTTACCATGAACAGTTAAACCAAACCTCTGTGGTCTCACACCCTCACCCGGGCGTGTATTCTCCTTCCCAGAAGACAAAGCTGCTACTGGGGTGGCTCATTTTCACACAACAAGCTCTCCTAAAGTCTCAGCACATTTTACTTTTGTTCTCTGGAAAAGTACCTACTTCCCAGCCTCTCAGCCCTGACGGCATGAGGTCAGGATGTTTTCCATCAGCTGTTAGCATAGGCTACCCCATCCTGTTCCCTCTCAATTCTGCTGATGTTATGATTGGGACATAGTCCATGTATTGATGTGAATTTCTTTTGCATATACTCAAATTGGACAGAGAGGGATATCACAATTACACCCTAGTACTTAAGTTCTTGGGTATTAAATGGCAAATTCTCAATTTCTTAAAAATCCAAGATGAAGTGACCTAAAGAGAAGGAAAAATAATTATATTTTACAATGGAGTGAAGGGCTAAGAATCATTTTCCATTGCTTTAAGCATGGCATCCCCCCCAAGAAAATTAAAAATAAGTGCTGCCAGTCCTCCCCTCTGCCTGTGGGGATGTATTGACTTTGTTGTGTTGATGGGGCAGAATTGGATGTCAGTCTCCAGATCACACTGCAGAGGAGCCCAGATGCCTGGAGATGGCCAAGGAACTAGAGGCAAAGGTTGAAGTAGGGACCTTACTCCAGAGCTGACAGGAACGTTTTCCTTAAACCTCACACTCTGAGCCTCCTAAACAGAAAATAAATCAGTTAAAATTACCAAAGTATCGCAGTTTTGTTGAACCAGTACCAGATAAAACAGCCAGGCTGTTAGTGGTGGCGCCACCTCCTTGCCATTCAGTTAACTGACGCATTGCAACTTCACAGGACAGAGTAGAACTGCCCCCAGGGGCGTCCAAGACTGTCTATGGGGAATAGAAAGCCGCCTTTCTCAGGTGGAGCCTCTGGCTGGTGGCTTCAAACTGCTGATATTGTGATTATCATCCAAATGTGTCACCTGTTTGCACTAGTACCATGTCTCAATTTTGCTATTTTTTATCACTAGGCTAGTTTTGTACATCGAATCCTTTTTGCAACTACAGTTTAGGACAGTGGTTCTCAACCTTCCTAATGCTGCGACCCTTTAATACAGTTCCTCATGTTCTGGTGCCG